TTGTAAGTTACTTTTCACAACAAGTCAGTGAGCATATACCACGGCCTGTCGTGAGCTATTGCTTAAATATATTACTGTCACCATCAAAACACCTGGGATGTGCTGGACCCCCCAGGTGTTTGTGTGGGACAATAACATATAATCAACGTGTTGTTGTCCCACACAAACACCTGGGGGGTCCAGCACATAACATAACATGTGTTTACTTCTGGAACACAGTGACATCACTACAGAACACTCGCACTCCTACTGGCTAACGCTCCAGCACATTGTACGTGACAGGCTAAGGGGCGGGACATCTCTAAACTGTGGACCAATCACAACAGATTGGTCATAAAGTCATAAATGATAACACTCATAATGGATCCCTTGTCTTTGACCTGCAAACCGAATGTACCTGAGGGTTAGGGTTGTATATATATATGTAAATACCTCCCAGTAGTGCCTCCCCGTGCTGAAGCTCTCCTTCCCGCTGATGCACGACCACACGTCAAAGCGCTGCTGGGAGTTTCTGTAGAACTGAAGCTTCTCTCCTCTCTTCACCTGCTTCCTGTCCTCCGACAGGATGAGGAACGGGTACGCTGTGACCGGGTTCAGAGTCACGTCCTCTGAGGAGACACAAGATGTGAGGAGGCTGAGACAGGTGAACACACCATGAAGCACTTCCTGTGTGACTGAAAGCCAGACAGAGTCAGACGTTCAACATCAAAACTATCTCCTCATTATCTGTGAAGGAGATCAGGCTTTCTGCTACGGTAAATAAGATACAAGAGAAATCATGAAACACTCACCCATGTACACTCGAGCCTTCTTGTGTCCTGTAACAGACATGAAGCTGGATCAAATCATAATTATATTTAATTAACAATACGTTTATGAATTGATTGAAAGACGAACCTGAGACCGGCTTCATCTTCTTCAGATCTGAGGGCAGACAAGAAGTCGTTAGAACCAAAGCCCTCAGGCATGCAGCAGCAGGACTCTGAGGTAAAGGTGAGTAGATGCTGAACCCTCACCCTTCAGACTCCACTGGCTCTTCCTCAGACTGGCTGAGCTTCCTCTCAGACTGAGCAGGCTCTCTGCCGTCATCAGCTCTCCAGCCGAGCCTGAAGCACAGATATAAGATAACATTATTATGTTATCTTTTTCCACACAAAGACATGAGTTTTCTAGTGGACCCTGAAACACATTGATCTCACCGGAGCCTCTGGGCCGGACCTCTCCCATCCGGATGTCCTCCATCTTCTCCTTGACCTCCAGCAGGGAGCTCTTCACCTCCCGCAGCTGGAAGTGCAGGGAGAAATCTGGCTCTTCCTCCCCCCGCTGCTCCTCCCCCAGGGGGAACGTCGCCTCCTCGTAACTCTGGGTAGAGAGGGAACGTTTTGTAAACTACACGGTAACTCTACAGAGTAACTCTACTCGGTAACTCTACACGGTAACTCTACAGAGTAACTCTACTCAGTAACTCTACAGAGTAACTCTACAGAGTAACTCTACTCGGTAACTCTACACGGTAACTCTACACGGTAACTCTACACGGTAACTCTACACGGTAACTCTACAGAGTAACTCTACTCAGTAACTCTACAGAGTAACTCTACAGAGTAACTCTACTCGGTAACTCTACTCGGTAACTCTACTCGGTAACTCTACACGGTAACTCTACACGGTAACTCTACACGGTAACTCTACACGGTAACTCTACAGAGTAACTCTACTCAGTAACTCTACTCAGTAACTCTACTCAGTAACTCTACAGAGTAACTCTACTCAGTAACTCTACTCAGTAACTCTACAGAGTAACTCTACTCAGTAACTCTACTCAGTAACTCTACTCAGTAACTCTACACAGTAACTCTACACGGTAACTCTACACGGTAACTCTACACGGTAACTC